TGCCTATCAAATTGACCTCCAAGGTAAGTATGGCGTGAGTGCTACTTTTAATGTGTCTGACTTGACTCCTTTTGATGTAGGTGATGATTTTGATTCGAGGACGAATCCTTCAAAAGGGGGAGAAGATGATATGAACCAAGATGCATTAGCCTTGCCGCCAGGACCAATCACTCGTTCAAGGGCCAAACAGTTACAGCTAGCATTTGATTCTCACATCCAAGCAGTAGTGAGCTCCACTAATGGACATCAAGAGGATAAAGATGGGACAAAACTTTACTCATGGTGCCAAATGAATATACGAGACGAAGATGAAGCCAAATGAAGACACGAGAAGAAGATGACGGAACTTTACAAAGCTATTATTTATTATTATTATATATTTTTTTTAATTTAACTATGTCACATTTAATTGGGGGTAGTATAGTCTTTTAACTTCCTTTGAGATTAGGGATTTAATCTTGTGAACAGAACGATCAATTTGGACAGAATGAATTTGGAGTGTTTTATCGTGATGACTAAGGGTTCATCAACTTTGCCATTCTTGATCTAGGTTGCAAACACGGAACATTTAAGTTAGGTTTGATCAACCTTCTTGTGGAGTGTTCAACCTTAAGTAGGGAACCAGTTCTCCTTACCTCTTGGTCTTCGATCATCAAGGTAATCCTCGTCTAATCTTCCCTTGGGATTGTGCTATTTGACCTGGGGGTTTTGAAATTGACAGTTAGGGGTCCTCCTTAGGTGGAAGGGTTTTTATCTGCAATTTTCTAGGGTTCCATATCAAGTTGACTCCATGTTGATCTAATATGGTTCATGTTCAACTTGTAATTTCCACATTTGATGTTTCTTTTTTAGCAAACTTAATTTACCTTCCTCCTCAGACTTTCATTATTTCATCTCTTACATTGCTCTTTTTCTTTTTTTTTCCTAATAAGTGGGAGTTAGAGCTTTGCTCCCCTATACCCAGGACATCTACGCCCACCCCAAGACCCGGACCCATGAGATTTATTTCTTCAAACGGATGCTTCTATTCATCTTAAGTATCCAAATTCCTTCTAGCCCATCTTTGTAACTTTGCCAACAACATTTGCATTGATTCTACGATATCATTTGTTTCGAGCAGCAATTGTCGCACCTTCAACAAGAATTTTAAAAGACTCGGATTCAGAATTGATGCTCTAATAGCAAACTGTTAGGATCCCAATAATAAGAATTGATGCTCTACCAGTAATGAAGTTTACCCTCCCATCTTGGCATCTTTCAATCCAGTAATGAAGTTCTAGCTTATTCTACAAAAGGTCCAATGGTGAAATAGATTGGAGTTCTCATTCCCATCGATAAGCCACTTTATACCCCAGAAGATGCGTTCTTTAAAAATGAAATTCAGCAGTTAGCCTTTACGCTCCTTTCTAAGATCTCTTTGACCTTCCTTCAAGCTTTTTTGTTCTTCAACAGCATCTAAAAAATTGGTTTTTTAACAAGAAATACATCTTTCATTTATGTAGTGAAAAGTTACCAACAAACCCAATTTGAGTTAACTAAAGGGAGTATAATAAAAAATAATAATTTGAAAGTAAACACGGGAGAAGCAATGAAAACTTTCCAAATAAAAGACTTTCATTCCGTTCTCTTTCCCTCTTGTTGAATAATCGATGGAATAAAAAAACTTCCATTCCACTCCCTTTCCCTACTGTCGTAAATGCTTCCACAGCATTTACCCACAAAATTACAATCTTCTTCCAAAGTTCTAAGTCTATGGCAGCAAAGCAACTGGATAATATTTCCCTTCGGTTGATAAGTCCAAAGCCCAAGGAAATTAAAAATACTATAAAAGGAAGATCCAGAGATTCGTATTAAATAAGCAATGGAATAACCAATGACCTTGAATCTCCCCTGCATCCCTACAAAGAATGCACAGTTTGGTTTGAGAACCATACTTCGGGATTTTTTTATTTTTTCCTGAATCCTTTCAATGGAGCACATCTCCTCATGGCAGATGGTCCATGAAACAAGCTTTAGTTTCCTGTCCCCTACATTTCCAAACTGCCAATAAGGGCACCTTTACTGTGTTAGTGATTGTTTATTTAACAAAGAGCAGTTCAACGGAGAAAACTCAGAGTGACCACACTCTTGTTCTCCTCTGCCAGGTTACACCCCATTTAATACTTCAAGCAAGCCCCAAATTTCATTCAGTTCTATCTCTAGAGGTGCTACCTTTGGCTTTGGTAACAGTAGACAAAAGAGAGATCAAAAACCTATCTTGGTCTGGAGCCTCAACCATATCCTCTTTTTTTACCCAAAAACCCTTCTAATCACACTGCCAAGATTTTTCAAGAAAAAAAAAGGGTAAAAGGATTCCCATTTTCTTTTCAACCTTGAGCTGGCCATTTGAATAAGAAAGTTTCCATAGAGAAAAGGGTATACCATGAGATGTCAACCATGGACGAAAAATTACCCCATAAGTGATTGGAGAAAGCACAATACAGAAAAAGCAGAATACCTCTGTTGGTTCACATTACACGAGCAAAAAAAAATGCTGGAGAAGTAGATTTGTTCCATATGAGATGGCCTCTTATGTAACGCTTAGCCATTTGAATCATATTCCAAAATTCCTGGACCTTTGAAAAATCTAATATGATCAAGTAATATCCCGAAACTTATACTTCTGTCAGTTTCATCATCCCAGAAAGATTTTGAGGCCTTAAAGGGAAAAAGGGAGGGAAAAAAGTCAACAAACCACAGAATCATCTTTAGAGAAGGCAGGGGCTCGAAGTAGCAAAAGGGCAGAGGTAACAGGGGAAATAAAAGGTTTGCAAAGTAAAAGGCCTATGTCGTTGGCTGCGTCTGTAAACTTTGTATGAACTTGGATTTCATCTCAGTTAATCAGTCAAACAATTATTCAGATTTCAGAAATTTAATTGTGCTGTCCTCATATTGGGAAAAGAAAATCACACTTTCAAAGCCTTCACTTACGGGTAATGTATTACATGCATTTTCATGAAATAATTTCAAAATACTATCCCCAAATGATCTGTGATACAATACATTTATTTAAACGTCAACGGTGAACTTATCCACTACTGGTCCAAGTACAACATCAATAATAGTAAAAACGAACCAAGCACTATCTAAAGCTGATGCAAGGAAGAAAAAAAAAAACTAACATGCAAAGAGAACTCAGAGAATATTAATAGACCTTGGGAAGAGTTGGTCCCAATTTTCTGATGATGTCATCGACATGACCAGGTTGAAACCCCTGCCATATAAACATTCGTTAAAGTGAAACTAAAATAATGGGACAGTAGATAAACTTCCTAATGGAGAAGAATCTGATCCATTAAGACTTATTTCTTCTCGTGTCGAGCCAACCATAAGTAATTGAGAAATATCTGGTAGTGAAATTTATTAAAACATTTCTAAAAAGTTCCAACCGGCGCACAAACGAGACTTATATTTGTTTGATTCCGAAGAAGAAGGAGGCTATGAAGGTTGGAGAATTCAGACTGATTAGTTTGGTAACCTCTTTGTACAAGATCATCTCTAAGGTGCTTGCAGAAAGACTTAAGAAAGTATTGCCGATGATCATTCATGATGCCCAATCGGCCTTCATTGAAGGTCCCCAAATCATTGACGCCATCTTAATTGCTTCCGAGGCAATAGGGGATTGGGAAGTGAGAAACAAATCAGGCTTTGTGTTGAAGCTAGATTATGAAAAGGCCTATGATAAGGTAGATTAGTCTTATTCGGAAGCAGTCATGGAGCAGAAGTGCTTTGGTCCTAGGTGGAGAAGATGGATCATGGGATGCCTATCTTCAGCAAACTTCTCTGGCCTTATTAACGCCTATCGGCCGTCCTAGAGGCAAAATTCTTGCCAAGAGAGGTTTGAGGCAAGGGGATCTGCTCTCCCCCTTCCTCTTCACCCTAGTAGGCAATTCCTTCAGCAGAATGGTCCACATATGTAGTCAAATAAGGCTGATTAGAGGCTTTGGAATCGGCAGATAGGAAGTGGAAGTCTCCCATTTACAATACGCGGACGATACTATGATCTTCTGTCCAAATGAGACAGGGATGCTGGAAAATTGGTGGATGATTTGCTGCAGATCAAAGCTAGAAAACTGAGTTGCAAAGTGGAAAGGCTTCCAATTTCCTATATGGGAATTCCCTTGGGGGGCAATTATAAGAAAAAAGCTTTTTGGGAACCTTTGATTGATAAAGTTAGATAAAAGATTGACAAGTGGAAGAACCTTTCTCTCTCAAAGGATGGCAGGCTCACTCTTGCGCAATCCGTGATCACAAGTCTTCCTCTCTACTTCTTTTTGGTTTTGAAGGCTCCAACGGAGGTTGTTAATGAAATTGAGAAGTTGACTCGAAATTTTTTTTGGGGATGGGGAAGCACAACCGACTCTTGTAATCACCTATTGCAATATGGAGGCCTTGGAATAGGGGCTTACACCAAAAGAACAACAATTTACTCCTTAAATGGATGTGGAGATTTACCCAAGATAACAATGCTCTGTGGCGGAGGGTGATTGTTAGTATATAGATATACGGGATGGGTGGTGTACTCTTCCTCCTAAAGGATTTGCAATGGGAAGACTGTGGTTCGATATTTACAAAAATAGCAGTTTCTTCTCAAAGTTCCTCGAGTTCAAGGTGAGAAAGGGTAATCGAATTAAATTATGGTCGGACAACTGGATTGGGAGTGACTCTCTTCAGAATTTGTTCCCTGCCATGTTCAACCTCTCTACAAAAAACGAAGCAACAATTTTGGAATGTTGGAATGTGAATGAAAATGATTGGGATCTAGGATTGCGTAGATGCCTTGTCGATTGGGAGGTCGAAAGCTGGTTGGGCCTTATCCAAGCTATTGATGTGGTGAGGCTGGGGGGAGGGTGAGGATCGTGTAAGTTGGTCTCTAGATAAAAATGGTCGGTTCTCTACCGGCCTGTCTAAAGTTGGTGGATTGCAGCCCCTTTTTTAGGGCCCCTCTTATCTCGGCGATATGGAACTTCAAGGCCCCAAAGAAGATCAAAGTCTTCCTTTGGTCTCTTGCTCATAGAAGCTTGAATACACATGAGAAACTTCAGAGAAAATGCAAGAACTGGATGCTTTCACCCTCGGTTTGCACTCTTTGCTTGGAGCACAGTGAGAATATAGATCACATCTTCTTGCACTGTCCTTTTGCGACTAAGAGCTGGAATTTCCTCTTTGAGATTTTTGAGATCTCCACCTGCTTTCCAAAACAGATAGATGACGGGATGATTGAAGTTTTGCATGGGTGGATTCTCCCTGAGAAGACAAGGTTTATATGGAGTTGTGCTTGAGCTCTCCTTTGGCATCTTGGGATTGAAAGGAATTCTCGTGTTTTCGAAGATAAGTCTACTACTTTTGATAGTTTTTTAAGGAATGTACAGCACATTGCCTCTTGATGGTGCATCAATTATAGGAAATTCTTTTGTAACTATAACCTTTCCATGTTCGTGAACAATTGGAAAGTGGATGTTTAGTTTCTGGTGGGGTTTCCTCTACCCCAGCCTTTAGCATGTTCCCCCTTTTCTTGGTTTATACAATGAAAGTTTCTTATCTAAAAAAAAATTATTAAAACATTTTCTTCACTGGCCGTAAATTGACATACTAGTACCAAGTAAAATGGCTCTCGAGAGAAATGTACTCCAAAACAGCAAAATAATTTTTACAGGATAAGTTTTAAAAACCAAATGTCGCAAACACAAATGTTAGTCCTTACTGATTTTGAATTTTGCGTGTCAGATGGATATCCTGCAGAAGAAGCAGATAATTGGTGTTAGAAATATATTTTTCATGAAAAATAATGCACAACTGGAAAATTGTCTCTCCTTGAAAAGGAAGAACTGAGAATGGGAAATATTGCCAAACCCAACTAAGCTGTGAGTATCAGTAGAGACATTGGCGCAAAAGAGAATAGGCAGATGAAAGATTATAGTAAAGAGAAGAGGCCTGCATTGCTTCTTATCCTCATTCGCGGGGACATTCATCAAAGAAAATCCCAAAGGGTATCAAATGGACGGAGAAAGAGACATTAAACAAGAAAAAAGATGAAGGAAATCAAAATTAAAGAGCCTGGCCATATATGATGCAAATTACGCTGAAGATGCAAGTAAATCGATTGGAAACATTTTTGAAAATAAAATCACAAGGGCCAAATACAGGGTGAAACCAATGGGGGACGCGAGATCCAGCAGTGCATCAAACAAAGAGAAGAGAGTGTATAAGATGTGACGAACCCAATTGAGACAGTAAAAACTACGAACAGATCCGATCAATTAACGTCAGATTCAGAACAGCTCATGACCAATCGATTGAAAGAAAATAGCACACAAGTTACCCGGAGTGTGGAAACCATTGTAGAGGCCGAGCAAAAACACAAGAGGCACAAGCATTGAGAGGATAACGAGGCCAAGTACTCCGATCACGAGTCCTCTCCATCGCCTTTTCGCCGGAATAAAAGCAGAAGCTCCGCTCCCCCCGCCAACGCCGCCCTTCATCTCCGCCACACTACCCTCTCCACTAAATATATTATGTATAATCCTCCTCCCCCACCTGCTCCGATTTGCTAATTGTAATCAAAGTGATTTCAGAGACAGTGAGAAGAATCTCCGCTAGAGTTCAAGCGGAGGCATGTTTGTATAGATCATGAAACATGAACTGTTGATCAAAAACTACGAAACGTGAACATTTTCTCCAGTAATCGGAAGAATTAACCGCTCTAGTTGTTAACGTAGAATCCCAAAATGGCTCTCATTTCTCTCCTCCCGTCGCTCACTGCAATGGATCAGATACGAATTCCCCGAATTCCCCGAAGTGAAACAAGAGCAGTCGCTCGCGAGTGAATGGCTTGAACCGGATGCGAGTGAGCCGGATGAATTGTGTTGTGGGTTTCTTTTTCCTTCATTTTTCTTTTTTCTTTTTCCTTTTTTTTCTAATTACAATAGTTTAATTAATGTTTTCAAACGTGATGATCAAAATCACAACTTTTCGAGAGTATACAATATGTTATTAGATTTTTTATTTTATGTTTAAAATTACTCTGTGACCATTTTAGTCTCTATCGTACAAAATTTTATACACAATAGAAATTCTTTAATATATAATTTTTAAAAGGGGATTATTTTGATTATTGTTTATAAAATTTTTTATATACAGTAAAAAACAATACAATTTTATGGCTAAAGTTTAAGAAATTTTGTGAATGAATTGCTATATTAAAATTTTGATGGAAAGAAATTAGATAAAAATAAAAGTGGATGGACCAAAATTGTCACTTTCTAAAAGTACATCCACCAAAACATATATTTGAAAATACTGAGACAAATATAAACAAAAGTTGAAAGTACAGTAACAAAATGAATATTTTGAAAGAACTATTAACTAAAATGAACTAAATAGACCTTAACAGGTCCTTGAACTCTATTCAATCTCTCAAATTTATCTATTTCATTATTAAAAAAATTAACAAATCTAGACATATAATTGAATGTGTTTTTTAGATTTTTAGATTTATTAGACACAAAATTTAAAAGTTTATAAATATATTAGAAAAAAAAAATTAAAAAGTTTTTAGAAACTTATTTTAAAGCTCATAAATTTATTGAAAACAAAATTGAGAATTCAACGGCTTATTCGTATTTCGTACAACTCTACCGATACTTAGAGCGAATGTTGTATTTTTTTTAACAAATATACAACCTCACAAATTTTTTTATTTTTTAACTTAACAAATTGTTTTGTTGTTACACTGTGATGAATTTTTTTAATGTGGTAACAAACCAATGTTTTTTATTTATTGTATTAAGGTTTAAGGTTAAATAATAACAAAAAATAAAAATAAAAGAAGAAGGATTTCCAAGTAGGTAGTTTATAGTTATTTAACCAAACCATATATAATAAATTGAAACTTTTAAAATTGGAAGGACAAAATTCAAAATTTAACCTGTTAATAATAAGGTTTCTTTAAAATTAAAAAAACACACACACACAACAAACGTGAGTCAGGAGGAAACTTTATTAACCCTATACATTAGATGAGTTTCCATTAATTATGGGACTTCTTAATTAATCATAGATTACTTTAAATGATCCATTAATAAAATAACCTAATAAATGTGATTGATGATGATATTACAGAAATTATGTTAGTTTTACCACTAATAATAAGACTCTTTTCTCATTAATTAAATATATGTGTATTTAAGTATCCTCTACCAAATCTGCTCTAGTAGGCTAGAGATTGATATGCATTATATTTCCAAGTGAGTTTTTCCCCAAAAAGAGAGAGAATTTCAATTTTTACGCTGAACCTTTAATTTTATGATAAAAAATATTTTTGGTCCTTTTACTTCTAGTTGGAGTAACGATTTAGTACATGAACTCTAGTATTGTTTAAATTAAACTTTAACGATTTAAGTTCGTATCATAAAAAGTTTTGTTAATTTTAAGTAGGTTAATCATATAGGTAGATTGATAAACTTACAAGGGACCAAATTCATCTTTAGAAATGCTTACCTAAGGCTTTCATTTAAATGTTAACTGTAATTAAGGCTTTCATTTAAATGTTAACTGTAATTTTTACCTTCCTTTTGCTTTCATTTAAATGTTAATTGTAAAAAATAATAATAATAATAATAAATAAATCTTTTTGATGAATAAAATTTATAGGACTCTAGAGAAAGACAAACGAGAGGTTTATTTTCGTTAAAATTTGCGACCATTAGTCGTTTTAATTGGATTCTCTCAAATCACAATCTTTGAAATTTTGAGAAGAGCGATGGAAATTGTAAGTTATATTTAGGGATTGAAGAATTATTATTGATTATAATATCGTTGGATTGGTAAAATTAGTTGAGAGCCTAAGAGACGGCCGTTAAAA